ACAGCAGCAGCCACAGCAGCAGCCACAGCAGCAGCCACAGCAGCAGCCACAACAACAGCAGCAGCAGCAGCCACAACAACAGCAGCAGCAGCAACAGCAGCAGCAACAACACGCAGCATACGAGGAGGCCTGTCGCGATAGCGGGCTCACAACCCGTAGTCCCCTACCACCATCTCCTACACAACAACAAGGTACATCGTCCACTTCGCCAGTCGAGCGACACCGCCTCTCAGCACGGGTCACTTGGACGGACGAGTTCAAGGTATGTGCCTGTGTGTGCCTGTGTGTGTGTGTTGTTTGTTTGTGTGTGCATCGGTGTCTGTGTCTGTGTCTGTGTGTGTCTGTGCGTGTCTGTCTGCGTGTGCGTCTGTGCGTGTCTGTGTGTGCCTGTGTGTGTATGTGTGTGCCTGTGTGTGCATATTCGCCTCAGTGAAGCTCATTTGGCTTGCACTGTTGGGTGTGAACATGTCATTCTGCAAACACATAGGCCGACGTCATCAACATTGCAATTGCTGAAGGAGTACCTCAAAGAGAGGGTCGTTATGGCGTGGGAGAACTATGGGCCAACACAACCAATCGCTTTGTCCGGCAGCTGCAGGACGAGGGTGATGTTGATTTTATGCGAGCAGTGACTGTTAGGAAGGTTCGACGGATTGTGCAGGAGGTGATCAGCATCGTCCGCGACTACCTGAAGAAGAAGCCATCAACAGGTACGGTCTTCTGTAGGCTGTGCTTGCCTGCTTTCTTGCCACCTCCTTTGCATCTCTGATCTACGTACAACCTTGCCAATCTTGACGCACTCAATCACTGTCAACAATGTGTGTCATTTGCTGTCTGCTTGCAGGGACCGCAAACACACCTCCGTTTGGTGAAGGCGTCATGCAGGCCGCAACACTGTTCATCGAGCAGGCAAGTGCGGCCCCCTCCAAATCGGCAACGACGCTCGCACGCGAGCAGCGCCAAGCAGAAGAGCAAGAGATGATCGACGCGGCCATGCAGTCTGGCAGGATCGCTGAGTCGGTGGATGACGTGCCAACACCCAAGAAACCCAAGAAGAACCATCGATCCAAGTCAATCGACGACACGCAGGTATTTCATCGGGCACTTGACGCGCTCCTTGAGGATCGCAAGCGCGCAAGGGAACAGCAAGAGAGGTAAGCATGTTCTCGTTGTCATTGTATCCGTGGTGTCTGTTCGATGGGTGCTTGCAATTACATTGCGGCGTTTGTAGAGCATTGTTACAACCTGCTATTGAGTCACATAGCCGCCCCGTGCGTCTTTCTTGATGGCGTTTGCATGACAGACAGACCGAAGCTTGGCTTGCGATTGCCAAACTGGTCACCGACAGGCTTTTGCCGCCGCCATCACCTTCGGGCGAAGAGAGAACACCATAAGGCTTCCGCATCATCTAGCGACCGCTGTCCTGCTGTGTGTCTTCAACTCTCATTTTACGTGCTTGTGTGTTTGTGAAGCGTGTGTGCCTTGTCAGCCGTTTCACGCCCATTCGTGTGCGCGTGAGCATGTGCGTGAGTGTGTGTGTGTGTGTGTGTCTGTGATCGGCAGTTCATCTGTGCGTGTTTAATACACCATTTGCATGCAGAGCTAATCGACATCACACACTGCGTTCATATAGAAGCGACAAACAAAGACAGAGGTGGCCATGATCACACATACTCTTCAAGCTCAGGGGGATCCAGACCCGTGAAGTCAGACGTCTCACACCCGTACAAACAGGTGTGACAATTGCAGAGTAAACACGCGACAAGGCATAGTTTACCGACAGGTTGCCACAGCACCTTGAGGTTCTTGCCGAAGTCAAGGAACGCAAAGATTGTGAAGAGCTTGCCAAAGCCCCATTCCACACTGCATCAGATGTAAGCAAGTATGCATGTTTTTGTCAGTCGTTGAACGAATGGCACGAGAGCATAACAATAGGAGGCTCTGGAGTTCACCACGCACACACACGCTCTCACACACGCAAGACAACACACGCGAGCACACACACAAACACGCGCACACACACCTTTGCCGAAACTTTGACATCAAGTAGTTGTGCCGTCGCTAAAGTCGCCCACCACACATGGATAGGTGCAGACGCGAGAGTAATTGAGTATGCAAACACAGCGTTCGGTGGCTGTGCGAGGTGGATACGTTGTCTTGGTTCGATTGCAGCCAGTAAGGATGTAAGTGAAGGTGGTGTATGTGTGCACGTTTTGTGCACATCATCGGGCCTCACCTTTGCACTTCCTGTGGGCGGCTGTCGGAAAGGCCGTCGAAGCCTGGGGCCCCAGGGATACGCACCGTCCCCATAAAGCATATAGCCATCGGGGACATCTGCAGGCGGGAGCAAAGGCAATACAATGGGATGGACAGTTCAAAGGTCGTTGATCGCACATCCGCCAACCTCACTAGCAAGTTGCTATGATACAAGCAGCCTCTGACAACGTGACAACGTACCAAGTCTGTTGATGTGTCCCTCCACGCGGGACTCATGGTACATCCTGGCGTCGTGGTGAGTCCCTGGGAACGGTCCAAAGAAACTCGCCATCAGTCCACAGGGGGTCATGACCCCCTGGAACTTGATGGCGTGCGTCCGTTTGTAACCTGTATAGAGGATATCCTCAAAGATAACAGGACGACAAACAGACTTCACGGTCCCGTCAATGAAACCGAAGAAGTGGGGAGGTGCTGGGCAGCCCTAGTGGGGGGGGGGGTGAGCTTGCATTAGCAAACACGCACACACACACGCACGCACACACACAGACGCACACAGACGCACAGATATACACACATACGCACACGCACACGCACACACGCATGCACACACACATACGCACACGCACACACACACGCATGCACACACACACGCACACACGCATGCACACACACATACGCATGCACACACACATACGCATGCACACACACATACGCACACGCACACACACACACGCACACACACACACACGCACGCATGCACACACGCATGCACACACACACACACGCATGCACACAGACACAGGCATACACAGACACACGCATGCACACAGACACACGCATGCACACAGACACACGCATGCACACACACGCACTAACCTTTCGTTCCAAGGTGTCAGCATACAGCTTGCACCGCTCCTTGGACAGCATAGTTTCATCAAACGCAATCTGTACCAAACAAACACAAGGTGGCCAAGTAAGACCAGAGCAGTTCAATACAGACATGCATGACGTGCAAGGCCAGGAACAGCACACCTTGTTCTTGTATCGCGCGAAGAGGTCATCCAGGACGCAGTTGATAACACTTGAGATCTTTGCTTCACTCCATGCCACAAGCGCAATCTGAATCTCCACGAGCCGACAAGGGTATGCCAGTCTGTAGAGTAACAGTGCCAGCGCCTCCACGCCACGGGCCCTGATGCCACACACGACATTCCCATCAGCGATCAACCCTTGAACAACCAAGTGCACAATTAAGCCCCATCAGCTACGACTAATCCGTATCGGTGTACCATTTGCATACCTGTATCCATGGCGAGTAACGTACGTGTCTGGGATGCGAAGTGCATCCGCCAACCGAAGCATATCGTCCACAGTATTGACGCGGAACAAGCGGTAGAATGCCCCAGGGTCAATGCGACGCAGATCAAGCCTCGCCCCCGGGTCACACCTCACACGTGGGGGCCGTTTACACAGTGACAGGAGTCGCGCAACTAAGACCAATGCCATGTCAACCCTCGAAGACAGCATAGCAAGCATCAACAAGCGCCTGAGGTACCGCCTTTGGCGCCAAGACGAAGACCGAGGCATCCCGCGCGCCCATGACAAACCAACGGCAAAGCCGTCGTAAAAGTCAAACTCCGCCACCTTCGCCGAACCACAAACCACACCGTCAATTTTCCTGCATTGCCGCTTGTAAAATCTCTCTCACAAAGCAGGTGTTGTTGGCAAACAAGACAAAACCACACGCGAAGGCAAATTAGGAAGGACTCAACACAAAACAGAAACTCACTGACTCTCAACACTCCCCCTCAACTGCCTTCCTCTGCTCCGTCTCAGCCGTCGAGGTTCCCACCAGTCGTGGCAGGTGCTGCTCGAAGGTCTGCTTGTCCAGTGCCTTGGTCAGCGCGTCGGCAACCATCTGCGTGCCGGGACAGTGCTGCAGCACAATGGTTCCGTCGGCGATGAGCTCCCGCACGAAGTGGTGGCGTACCCGGATGTGCTTCGTGCGCGGCTTGGTGACGTGGTCGTTGCCGATGGCGATGGCCGCCTGGTTATCTGTCAGCATCTTGGTGGCTCCAGCCTCGGGCTCGTCGAGGTCCATGAGCAGCTGCCGCAGGAAGACCACGTCCTGCGCTGCAGCAGAGATGGCCATGTACTCGGCCTCGGCGGTGCTCAGCGCAACCGTGGGTTGCAGCCGGCTGCTCCAAGACACAAGACAGCCGTTGATGTAGCAGGTGAAGCCCGTCGTGGAGCGGCCCGTCAGCTGGTCTGTGCCGAAGCTGGCATCGCTGTAGCACACAAGGTCCAGCGGCTGGTCCTTGCGCGTGCCGCTGCGTCGCTTGAAGAGGAGGCCGTGCTCGCTCGTCGCCTTCAGGTACCGCACGACGTGCTTGGCTGCCTGCCAGTGGACCGTCGTGTAACGGTCCATGTAACGGCAGAGCAGCCCGCACGCGAAGCTGACGTCTGGTCTGGTGCGGTTGGCCAGGTACAGGAGCGAGCCGACGAGGTTGCGGAACGGCAAGCGTCGGTCGGGCTGCTCGCTGATGCTGGAGGCGTCGATGCCAACACGCATGGGCGTGGACACGCTGGCTGCCGCTGCCAGGTTGTAGTCGTTGACGATGTCGTTGATGGCCTGTGTCTGCGCAATGTGTAACACCCCGTCAGCTGGTGACGTCAGGTGAAGGCCCAGGTACCAGGTGAGTGGGCCCAGGTCCTCAGCCTCGAAGCTCTCCTTGATCTGCTGCTTGCAGGCACGGATGTGGCGCTCGCTGCTGCCGCTGATGATGAGGTCGTCGACGTACGTGATGATCCATGTGCGCTGTCCGTCGTCGTGGAGCTTGGTGAAGAGGCAGGCGTCGACGTTGCTCTGCGCCCATCCGTTGGTCTTGAGGAAGGTGTGCAGCTTCTTGGCCCATGCACGGCCAGCTTGCTTGAGACCGTAGAGCGGCTTGAGCAGCCGGCACACCTTGCCCGCGTAGCGTTGAGCGCCGTCGCCGATGTCGGTGAAGTGCGGCGGCAGCTCCATGTACAGCTCCTCCTTGAGATCAGCCTGCAGGTAAGCCGACTTGAAGTCGAGCTGGTGCAGCTGGTGCTGTCGTTGCAGGGAGACGGCGAGTACAGTGAGGATGGTCTTGGCTGCTGGTGTTGGGGCGTAGGTCTGGTCGAAGTCGATGCCCGGTCGTTGGCTGAAGCCCTTGGCGACCCAGCGTGCCTTGAAGCGCGTCGGCGCGCCCTCAGCATCACGCTTCACCTTGAAGACGAAGCGCGACTTGAGCAGCGTGTGCTGCCGTGGCACGACGCATGCGTGGGATGAGCTTGATGACGCCGTTGCGCTCCATCGCCCCG